ATCCCTGATCCCCAATAAGTTAGAGCAGGCCCGGGACCATCACAGCCGCTCCAAATGGAAGGTCTAGCCGGCCAATTATCTGTGCGTTGGGCTGCAGGCCAGACCGAGCCATTTTGGTGTCGCTCCACCGGGCTCTGCTGCTGTCCCCGGGGGAAACCGGCTTAGCGGGCCAACAGCTAATCAGCCATGCTCTCTGACACTGATTACACAGATTGTTTTCCCTCTTAAAGGCTTTCAGATGGCCACATTCTTTCCCATTGCAAACCCTTTGTTCTGCTAAGTCCAGCCCTCAGCTCCTGCATACCTGCTAATGATGCTGCCTTTTTAATAAAGCTGCATGGGGCAACAAAAAAAAGGTCCAGGACTGATTTAAAGCATGTTTGCTTGTTTTTTTTATTAACTGCCGTGTATGTGTACGCACTGTTCAAATGACACATGACCTCCAGGAATTAGATTGATGTGCCGACTGCTTAACCTAATATTTGTGCGCTGTCTGGCTGTTCTCTTTATTCCCAAACAGAGCCACTTCTTACCTCTCGCTCTTCCCCTCCTGTGACAGATATTAATGAGTGCCAGTCCTCTCCCTGTGCCTTTGGCTCCAACTGTGTGGATGAGATCAACGGCTATCGTTGCCTGTGTCCCCCGGACAGGACGGGACCCCACTGTCATGAAGGTACAAGTCTTCACGACACAATAAATGACAAATTACACACATCACAAACACCTTCCCAGATCTCATACTGTGATTCTTTTTAACAGAGACGAAAAAACATTGCTCTGTTAATGGACTTGTCGTCCTCGATGGTCGCAGATGGGACGAAGACTGCAACACCTGCCACTGTTCGAACGGGAAAGTTGTGTGCACAAAGGTAGGTCCCTCCCTATGTGAAATAATGTAAAACTGAAGTATTTGGTATAAATGGTTGCGTGGGTGGATGTATCTCAGGCTCTTCTGTCTTCAGAGATTTCAGGTAGGGCCTACAACAACATTGTGTCACAGGGTGGAGCTGGCGTGGGAATATCACATTCTGTACAGAGATGATGACATGTGTTTTGAAAGAAACACAATGGCAGTGTCGAAAATACTGGTGTCAGGTGCCAGCTCTGAATCTCCCAAAGTCTCACCGGGTGAAGATTGGGTGATATACAGTAGAGGCCCGAAGTAGTGCTATCATTATCACGCTCATTTAACTGCCAAATTAACAACGGCGCCTCACTGACACTGCTCCCTTCAGGAGAGAAATGCATCATGGGGTGAAAACGACCTGAGGATGTGAGATGCAAACTTCCATGGTAAATATAGTCTGATATGGGAACACAGTGACGTGTGGGTTTTACCGCACTTTAGCGGATTACAGAAGCGTATCCTTTGACATGAATGGGAGAGAAATGTATCTTTACAGAGCCATTTGATCTGTGACTGGGAACAACTGTAAACTCCAACCTGGGATTTAATCTCTGGTGTTCAATATTTATTTAGATATTAGATATATTTGTATTAATTCAGTGGTAAACAGATTAAACCACGACAACGATATATCTTGGCAAATGAATTTCGCTGTTTGGGGAGGGAGACAAAGTAAAAACAGAAAGAAACTGAGATTATTAAAGAGGTGCTGGATTTTTTTTTTTTATTATCGTCAATACTATTAATATCCCAACGCTCCTGCTACAGACCTTGCAATCTCTAGAGCCACATCACTAGCTGGGATTAAAGAAAAAGTATCATCAGCCCTATAGCCTTATATTTGTTGAATTATAAGGAAAAAGTCTTAACATAGTTTCCCTGTCCTGTGTTTCTCTCCAGATGTCATGTGGCCTTATGTCCTGCCACATAGGGGCCAAAGGTCCCGGCGGGTGTCCCTCCGGTCGGAGCTGCGTCCCCATCAGGGAGGACCACTGCTTTGTGAAGCCCTGCGTCGGCCTGGGGGAGTGCTGGCGCTCCAACCCTCCCCCGCGTCCCACCGAATGCCACCCCAGCTCCAGTTACCAGGACAACAGCTGCGCCAACATCACCTTCACCTTCAACAAGGAGACCATGCCTCAAGTGAGTTACCTAGGCACCAGGGAGGGAGAGATTGAATTGTAGGGGTTTTGGGGTCATTTTTCAAGCCCCCCCCCCCCCCCCCCCCCTCCTCACCATCACCTCTATAACATGAATGGGAGCAGCAAACTGTGAAAGATCAGGTTTTCAAAAGTGCTCAACCATCCCTCCTGGCAAAAGGATTTTTCGTCTAAGACTCCTGAACAATCGGGCCATGTATTTAATTTCGCTCCAGGAAGAAAAAATGCGGGGATATTTCTTTCTTTTTTGTCCCCTTTCTTTTTGTTGACTGCATCCAAGTTCCTGAGAATCAGGCATTCACGACTTCATGCCAATCCACTCTTAACCCTGACCGCACTGCAAGATTAATTTCAGGATCAGATGGATTTGAGCTAAACAGGACCACTGGCGACTCTGTCACCACACAGCATCATCACTCGCCAGCTGCCTAACAAGCATGACAGCAGACAGTGACAAGCATATGAGCCTGTGGTCTTTGATTTAAATGAGGTGGATCCCCACCATGTTGACCCCACTGCCAAAAGTGCAGGCCGAGCTCTTTCTTCTCTTCTTGTATTTGTTTCCATTTGTGTTGTAACATTTGCTTTACTTCTTCTCCATGTCCAGAGCCTGACCGTGGAGGATGTGTGTAAGCAGCTGAGGCGCCTGTACGTGGTGAAGAATTTCTCCTTGGAGCATTCTGTGTCCATAACCTGTGACCCCTCATTCTCAGCCAGCAACGAAATCCACGTCTGCATCGTAAGTACCTCCTCCCACTCCCTGTCTGCCATATGCCTGCCTGCCTCTATTAATGTATGCTCAGAAAAATCCCCTTTGATTTATAGCCTGCAGCGTGCATTCTTAGCAGCATTAATGGGATAGTTTGTGGATTTAGGTTGGGTTGTTTTGTGTCAGGTGAACACAATTAATGAAAAATAGAACATAAACCTAAAGCCACAGATTTTAAATGTTACTTTCTTTTTCACTCTTCTAGGCTATGGAGGACCATCGGTTGGACCGTAGTCCTATTAAAGAGCTCACAGACAGGATAATCGACCTGGTTAGCAAGGGCAACGGGAACAACAACAACACCATCATCGCCGCCATCATAGAAGTGCGCGTGCCAAGCCCCAGCAAAACGAGTAAGAACCGCCTCCAAACTCTGGCTGTTTCCTGTGAGTTTCCCAGACTTTCACTCAGTGTGTGAGCATTCTGTTTTTTAATGATAAGATCAGATGAGATAGAGCCAAGGCCCTTAAATGACAGTGATGCCTAGTACCAAAGAAAAGTCATGCACGTGTGAAAAGTAATTCCTAATCCTCCCACATAAGTTGGTCGGCCAGGTCCTGCCATCTCATGGCAGTTGTACGGGAGCTTAAAAATATTTTGGTCAGAATGGAAAGAGCAGAGCTGCCTGGCTACGTGGTTTTAGATTGGCTCACTGCGACTGGCTGGACTCGTAGTAAGACCCCCGCATGTGTCCACCATTCATCAACGCAGTGACAGCAGACTGCCGCCACAGCCAAATAGAAGCAGCCTCCTTCCTTGTCCAGGGCTCAGAGGTCAGGTTGCACTGGCAAAAGCATGCTAACTATTTAGCAAGCTTGACATTGTAATACAATAGAACCTTTTGTGTATTGTTTAACTGGGACTCTTTCACCCTTTATATTTGGGGCATCTCTTTGACCTGTCTTCTTCTCTTCCCTCAGACTACCTAGTGCCCCTCCTCAGCTCAGTCTTCATTGTCATCTGGGTCCTCGTCCTGGTCTCTGTGTTGCTGTGGTGCATGCGGCGCAGGCGGAAACAGAGCAACCACAACGGGCCGCCGGCCACCGGCGCCGAGGACAACACGACCAACAACGTGAGGGAGCAGCTCAACCAGATCAAGAACCCTATAGAGAAGCACTCGGGCCTCACGGTGGCCATCAAAGACTACGAAAACAAGAACTCCATCATTGCCAAAATAAGGACAAATCATCCTGAGGGGAATGAGGACGACAAGGAGAGGCACTTACAGAAGGGCCGCTTCGCCAAACAGCCAGCATACACACTGGTGGAGCGGGACGAGAAGACGCCGGTTTCCAACTCCACGTCCAAAAACCCTAATTGGACTAATAAACAGGACAACAGAGACTTGGAGACAGCAAACAGCATAAACAGGATGGACTACATTGTATAGCAGACAGCTGTGTTGCTGTGCAACCAAGCCTTATGCCTTCACACCCCGGTGGTGGGTGAGACGGGGGAGCTTTGGCATGTGTAGTTAGCAAACTGTCGTGTCAGTCGTGACCCCACAGTATTTTCAGATATTCCCCGTGTTAATTTAAGTTTTGACAAGCTGGCTTACACTGGCAGTGACAGTTGCTTTGGTTGGCTGGAAACACAAGGCACTGGTATACATTTCACTGTAGAACTAGCTGCAAGTGTCCTCCTCTGCATTTCAGTTCCCTTTTTGTTATTTTAATTTAGTGGACACATGTTAGGGGCTCCTGGTGTAATTGTTGTACAATGACTAAAACGACCCGACATGTTTAATGCTAGATAATTATTTTTAGTATGTTTTTGAATTATTTTTAGTTCTGTTTGGAGAAAGTGCCTTTTCAGCTTTTAGACTTCAGCAACTGTCAAATGAGAAAAAATATCAACTTTATTATTTATTTTTATTTTTCGGGGAGGGAGGGGAAGGTTTCAATGTCAGCAGTTGCTGCCAATATGAAGAATTTATGTCGATTTAGAACATGTAGATATGTACATTTTTTTATTAATCATTGTGTATATTTGATTTATTAACTTAATAATCAAGAGCCTTAAGATATCATTCCCTTTTATTTATATGTTCTGTCTAGTTTGAAGGTTTTGATAGCTGTGGAAGTCTACCATTTCTTTCAATGACTTAATTTTTCAACGCATTTTATAAAAAAGCCACATTTCAAAGAAGACAAAGGATGGGCACGTCTGGTCTGAAACACTTTTATTGTCGTTTTTCCACACATTTGACATTTCATTATTACTTGTTGCCAGGACCTTGATTGAAGGCAGTGAAGTTAGGACAACAGATCAGCTGCTGCGAGGGATGGACATGGTGGCAGACATATTGCTTGCCACTAATGATAAACACTTAAGGGAACAAAAGTCCTTCTGCAGCTTCAGTTTAAACCATCAAAACATTTCAAAGTCACGTCATTATGACGCCACAATTCCCATCTGCTTTAGTCAGCGTAATATCAAAAGCTAGACCGAGTACTTGGAGGGGAGGGGGGCAATGGGAACACTGTAGAATCCAATAGAATACACTGCCTCCGCTTTGTTTCTGTGCAAATTAGTTTCTTTTCTTTTTTTAAATGAGGCTCTTAAAGACAAACATGTTTTATCTCATTTGTTAACCCTTTGAGATCATGGCAACATTTTGTTCTATTTTTGACTTTGTGTTATGAACTTGAGAATTATGTGTTGATCTGGCAATATATTTTTGAAAGTCATATTTATTAAATATTTTGTATGGAAAGAGAATTAAAGTTGTCTTTGTTCTGGAGCGCGAGTGAAGAGTCTGTCTGTGATGCATCGAGACAAACATGTCGGCTCATATGAGAGCTTTCTCATGCCGCTGCCGTGGGAACCGCTGCCGGAGACGCATCAGAGACTCTGTCCAAATGTGTTTACAGCTAATTATGTTTGAGCAAGTCATCCTCGCATTAGGTCGATCCTGGAGACAAAAATACCCCAGCCCCTCATGATCCTCACACAATGTGGCCCTTGTTGGTGTGGTTAGAGCAGCGGGCTTAAATAAAACCTTTTTTAAACTAGCAGGCCTGTGAAATTTTTCTGCAGAATCTCTTTTAAAAGGATTAAATCTAAAGCGAGAGATTATCAACACCTCTAGAGAACAACGTTAAACCAGACGGGTCACTTTCACTAATCCACCATGTTGTCTGTCTTGATAAGAACAGATTTGGCTCTTGAGAAATAACTCATCTCAGGTTACACCCCCTGATCCAGAGAAACACTGGTTTATTAGGAACATCACTGCAGATCAGCCAGTCTGCAGGGTGGGAGGGAAAGAACGTGCAGAAATCTTCATGTTGTTTCTCGCTGCTTCCAGTAAAGTAGTGACTTGTTTGCATATTTATTTAACACAAAATGTCTTTCCAGGAAACTCCAAATAAATCAGGATTACTGGGTGTTGACAGCAGCTAAAAATGTAACCTGCATTACCAGAGATGACCTGCTACTCCCAAATAAAACCACTAATATACCCACACTTATTTGGTTCAATATAAAAGCTACATAATACCCTCACATTTAGAGATACATTTCAGGTGCTTAGCAACTAATAACTGTAAATTGTGCATGAATGCAATCTAACTACATAAGTGATTTTTGAGAATGAGGTGATGAAATAAATCTGGAAACAGCCATCCATCACAGCGGAGCTTCAGCGGGGAAAGTGGACAGTTTTCAGACACGTAGGAGCCAGCGTTCGAGACGGAGAGCCATGACGTACTGCATGGCTCCTGCCTGTCTGAAATCCCCAATCTTTAACACAAAACCAAATCTAAACTCCAATTAAAGGTTTTTTTGACTTTCATTTGCGAGCCTTACTTGACCACCACTACTTATGGGTGGAGAGAAAAAAGTCTGTTTCAAGTATTTGACAAAGTGTAACTCAAATGCTCATGTAAGAAATGCCTTAATATCTTCAGCGTGTGTGCGCACACACACACGTGAAACCAATATGTATTGTGGTGAAAATGTGACACGTGTACAAATGCACATCATGTGAGGTAAACATGTAGCCTGACACAATATCATATCTATCTCCGTGGCGTCAGGCATCTTTACTGTATTCGTCTTCCCCCCCCTCAGGACCTCTTCAGTCGCCGTAATCTCGAGGTTCTGGGCACATTTTCATTCCCCTCCTCTGCGAGTGTGGATCTGGAACTAATAGAGGAGCCCGAGGATGCAGGCTTGACAGATAGGCCCCTCAGACTTGCGGCCAGCCTGTTTTGGTTTGTCTGTGCCGTGTTATTGCTTGTGAGGGGGGGCCTCTGGGCCCGTTTCCCTGGAGTAAGCAGCTCTACTTCCACTGTGGTTTTGGTGCGCCCGGAGACTGGGAAAGCCTTGGACTCTGCGTTGGCTTCGGCAGGAGGAAGGGGAGGCAGCAGAGGAGGAAGGTCATGCCTGGATGTTTGTGTGGAGCACTCGTTGTGAGGAGTTGTGGCTGGAGGTCTTTCAAGGCACGTTCTCTTGGCCCTCTGTGGGTGAGAGTCTTCCCCTGAGTCGCTTGGCTTGCTCCTCTTGCTCTTTCTCGTCTCGTGACTGATTTCAGAGACTCCGGTTGGTTTAATGCTGTCTGGAGGACTGTTCCCGGTCTGCTGATCCCGGGTCAGGCCCCGCTCTTGAGTTGTCCCAATCTGAACCTCAGCTTCATTTAAGGCACTGGGGCAAGGCACCATGTGGTCTGCCTCTGGGAGGGTCTTCTGACCACAGCTGGTCTCTTTTGGGCTTGATTCTGAGTCTCCAGCTTTAATCTTCCCTCTTTGGTTTTGGGGACAGTCTCCCTGGTCAACCTGCTGTTCCCCCCCCGCACTGGAAGCATGGAGCTCTCGCTGGACACCAGCTTGTATGGCTCTGAGAAATGAAAGGACAAGAGGATATTAAAGTGTCCTCTCTGACTGCCGGGGTTGGAAAGTTTTGCATTAGATCATACTCACATCTTTTGAAGCACAGTCTTCTTTGTTTTCGTGGGGATGTTTGAAGGCTCTAGGGTTTCTCCCACTCTGGAAAAATACTCTGACTGGCTTTGTTCGCTCAGCTCAGTCTAGAGAGGACAAACAGAAACGGTGTAAACAGAAAATATTATTCCTGGCATCCCCTGGAAATGTTTGGCTCCACAGCTGACTGCTGTCATCATCTGGGATTGTCGGACATAAAAAAACATTCACTACCTGCTGTAAAACTATAATAATTACAATTAACTAAAATAATTCCAATATCATAAACAGATATTTCATATAAATCTATCCTCTTCTGACTGAATTCCAAATAGTGCGGCCACTTTAGTTCTTGACCTATGATACAGTACAACAGGAATGTTTTCTGTGATGCCTATACAGACTTCGTAACCACCCAGCTGGCACAAATAATTAGCCTCCACGTAACACTGTCCAAAGAAACCACCTTCAAGGCTTTGGGAAATAATCACTGGCTTGTCATGGAGTGACGTGTGTTTCATGGTCTGCTGTCTGTGTTTGGAATGATGCTCTCAGCCTGAGGCAGGGTTACAAAACGGTGAAACCATTTTGAAAGGTTAAAACATCGATCACAGAAAGGATGATGGAACTGAGACGTTTAAAAGGAAAAACGCAAATATCAAGCAAAATGCCACTGTGAGGACAGAAGATCAAAAAGTAGGAAACATTGCCTTGTGGTTAGTAGACTGTAGCAGCACTTTGAGTTGCAGGTTCAAAGTTCAATACACCCACTTACAGAGGGGACCCTCTGAGGCAGAACAGGGAACTGGCCAGAGATTGCATCTCACTAACGTGTGCCCTCAACAGGTCGCTAATGAAGGTTAATCACAGGTCCTCTCCTTGGCTGACCCAGAACAGACTCTGGTTTTATGAGGGAACGAGAGACGCTGGTGGGAAATTGAGCAGAACTTAAAGGCTGAGAACACGCCAATTTATTATGAAATAATTGCATTAAAATTGGAGGGAGAATATCAGAGTAGATTTGGTTTGGACTATATTTGTTGAACTTGGATAAGCAGCATACAGCTGAAAGGCTAAATGATCAGAGTGACACTTGGTAAACTATTTCCATCAGACTGCAATAAGGCACAGCAGTGCTTCGAGCTAAGTGTTGAATTAGGACTGGGCATAGGCAATATATCGATTTCATATTGATATCTCGATATGAGACTAGATAGTATTGTGTTCGATTTTGGATCTCAACATATTATATTATCGTGTAAGTGTTGTCTTTTCCTGGTTTTAAAGACTTCATCATAGCAAAGTTATGTACATATTAGATTTGTTTGTAAAAGCTCATTGTGTATATACTGTATGTTATGCAACTACTAATAGTCAATCCTACAAAATCGATCGAGTCATGTTTTCAAAAGTATTGTGATATTTGTTACTACTGTTGTCCCTGTTGGGGAATAATTCCCCAGGGCTCAACGCTAACTTTTAAAAGTGCATCAGCTTTTGGTTGCCAAAACTGAAATATGGTTGCCATTTTTAGTCACCTTGTATTTTAAATAATTAAGATACTATACAGTTATACATCAACTTAATAAGGAACATGTGACACAAAATAATGTTCAAATGCTTTTTCAATAAGTAATTAACACAATTATTTGTCCATCCTCAATTGCTGGTATACAAAATACCACTACCAGTAGTGCAGCAGTTGTCATGGTCTTCACAGATCCCTCACAAATGAATTGAGCAAGTCACTAGTTTATTGGTCATCCGTTGTCTCCCTTTCTCAAATGTGGGTTTTCTTGACCTTTGTGCTGACCCCCACCATAGATCCATTGGCCCTTCAGCATCGAAGTCTTGGGGTGTTTCTCAATCGCGAGTAAAGCTGCTCCAGAGCCACTATTTCAAGAATACTACGTCATCGAGTGCCGCCGAAGTACTGTTCCAATGTCCAGCATACTTGGAATTCTACCGAGCCCGGCGTACTTCGTTTGGAGAAATTTCGAGGCTGCACATGTGTAGACTCCGCAGTCTTACAATCCCCACAATGCTTTGCGCACGGACCAATTTCCCCAAATCTGTGGCGGAAAATGTAAGGCGGAGCCACTCATATGACGCACACCTGCACACTTGCTCGCCTGTTCCACTCATCGGCCGTTTCTCAATCTCGAGGAAACTGGCTTCCAAGCCAATATTTCAAGGATGCTACGTCATCGGGTGCCGCCGAAGGACTGTTCCAATCTCCAGCATACTTGGAATTCCACAGAGGCCGCGTCCTTGGTTTGGGGGAAATTTCGAGGCTGCACATGGGTAGACTTCGCGTCCTTCAATGCTTTGCGCACGGACCAATTTCCCCAAATCTGTGGCGGAAAATGTAAGGCGGGGCCTCTCATATGACGCACACCTGCACACTTGCTAGCCTGTTCCATTTTTCGTTTTCCGAATGCCAGGAAAGATTCTTGCCTAGCTTCTGAAGGAAGTGACTCTGAAGACGTGCTACCAAGCAAGTATCCTCGCGATTGAGAAACGGCCATCATTTTCCGAATGCCAGGAAGTATTCTTGCCTCGCTTCTGAAGCAAGACGCTCGGAAGACATGTGCTACCAATCAAGAGTACTCGAGATTGAGAAACACCCTTGGATTGGCCAGACTAATACATTTCTAATGTTAAATAAACAGCGACGTGCAGTCAGGGGAGGCAGGGGAGGCAGAGCCTCACCTGTCATACTCCAATGTAACGGAAAAACAACTAAAGAAAACTAAATAGTAATAATAATAAAATGTCTCCACTGATCTGTGTTGTAAATGTGATTTATGTATGATTCCAATCGCTTTTTATAGTCAAAATCAGCAAATTTGCGGAGCTCCGCTACAACTACGGGTAGCGATGAGAAGTGAGGCAGGGACGAGCTCTGCCTCTCGTAAGCCCACAGTAAATGGCTGGAGCGCGAGCACTAATTTAACGCGGGCACTTATTTTGTGAACGCGCTCAAGCCAATTACTGTGTGGTGAGGTGAGGCACAGATGAGCTCTGCCTCACCTCAGAATGCGTCACCCCACAGAAACGGTCTGGAAAGCGGGCCCTAAGCGGCGCATGGCGCATGACTGCACCATCTCACTGTATGTCACGAATGTAATGTTTGTAGATCCCTTTATTACATTTATCCTCGCCATCTATAGTCTCTAAATAACTTATTTCACGTATATATGATATTTAGGCTCGCTGGTCTCATCATACAATGGCAATGAAAAAAGCACCATGGGAGGCAGCCATAACCTCTGCCGCACTGAAGGGGGCGCAAGTGAGCCCACAGGTTCTTGTTGCTACTGTTATTCTACGCAGGGACCGTAGACGCGACTGACGCGAACAACAAACTAGACTTTTGAAACTAGAGGAAGATAAGGAGGACTTTTACAAAAAAGTAATAGAGATTGTTGTCCAGAAGGATAGCATGGACTTCATCTTCAAGTCAAGATAAGACCCCAATTGTAATGCAAATGGCATCTTACCAAGAAAGAACAATCCAATATTTAGATGTTGGGTATCCTTTTGTTGAACGGTCTGTTTAAAATGAATCGAAGCATCAGACTAAAAAAGCTTTTGAAAATAACCCAATATTTCGATTAAGGTCAAAATATAATATTTGTAAATCTGACTCTGAAAGAGTCAGTGCCTCACCAGCCATGAACCTCACCGCACGTCACTGTAAATAAATGAAAGCCATTCACAATTAAGAATTCATTATTAATGCTGTAAATTAGCTTTAATATGTAAGTGATTATATTTGTATGTCAATATGTTCCTATGGTAAAGTTTCGTTTGCACTTTTATTTTGGTAGTAATACGATCGGGACTCTTATTTTGAAGGAACTTTTACCGGAAGTGAATGGAAAACGGAGCAGAATGTACACATGTCTTCCGAGTCACTTCCTTCAGAAGCTAGGCAAGAATCCTTCCTGGCATTCGGAAAACGAAGAGTGGAACAGGCTAACAAGTGTGCGTCATATGAGAGTCCCCGCCTTACATTTTCCGCCACAGATTTGGGGAAATTGGTCCGTGCGCAAAGCATTGTGGGGATTTGAAGGACGCAAAGTCTACCCATGTGCAGCCTCGAAATTACCCCCAAACCAAGGACGCGGCCTCGGTGGAATTCCAAGTATGCTGGAGATTGGAACAGTCCTTCGGCGGCACTCGATGACGTAGTATTCTTGAAATATTGGCTTGGAAGCCAGTTTCCTCGCGATTGAGAAACGGCCAATATATATTTCGCCTCCCAAGACTTTACCCATTTCCTCTTTGATTTTCGTTCAGGTTCACCTTGCGCTTTATCAGTTGAATCACTTTGAACATTCGTTTGAGATGTTGACGGGTTGGCCGAACTTTTTACCCCACAGTCAAACAACTTAATTTGCCTCGCCATTTTTTGTAAAACAAACACATAGCGCACCACGCACGCGAGTAAACGTGCATCGCTTTCTGGCTCCGTAATCACACCAATGCATGTGCAACTTGAGTATCAGGCTCCGACTGGTCACAACAATAATTAAATATCACTCTTAATACAATAAATAATTAACATTTATCTATTTTGGGGTGCACATTTTGCTGTCCTTATTACTGGTTTCCACTGATGGCAACCAAAGGCCAAGAAGTGGTTGAAATTGTTTCTGAATGGTTGCCAATGGCAACCGTTACTGTCGAGCCCTGTAGACTCCTAGATATCTAAAATGTTTGCCCTTTGACGTGTATGACCAACCCTGACGTCTGTTATCTCCCTTAAGGAAATGGGCTGCTTCAGCCATAATGTTGTTGTTCCCATTCTATGACCGGGCAACGCTCGGTCACAGATGGTTTATTGTTGTGGGTACACTGGAACACTTCCTTCTTGGTGTTTGTGGACTCCAAGGTGTGAAATCTTCGAGGCCATAAGTGTCAGACGCAAGTAACTCAGTGTTCCCAGCTGTTTAGGCTATCTTCTCAAATATGTTGATTACTCTGTGAAACTAGTTAAAAAGGTCTAGCAAGAGAGAGGCGCTCCAGAATTGACGTGGCAACTCTCCCGTGCAGTCAGATCGTCACTTGTGATGTGAATCCTCCGGCCGATACTCCTAAA